CGCTCGCTCGTTTTCGATGTTGTGGTACGCCGGTGTGAAAAACTGTTCCGGAAAGCTCATCCACTATTCTTCGTACCGTTCGACCAAGGAAGTTGTTTCCCGGCCAGACCCCCAATTTGTGGAAAGCACGGCGCGCCCTAGGAGTTTTCTTGCACTTCTCCGCTCCGCAACGCGTCCTACTCCGGTTTTGTTGTCCGGGGTAACTTGCTTGATGGTCTTGTAGGTAGGTAAACTAGTTCTCTTTTATTGATCTTTTGTAGGTAATACACTAACTCTACTCTATCTCTAACAATTCTTTAGGCTAATACCCGATTCACTCCTAAGTCACTCTGTTTTTCTGATATGTTCTGAGTCCCCTCCCCCCCCTCTCTCTCCTCTTCTGCCTCGAACTCCTCTCCTCCTAGGTATCCCACACTCCAGTCCCTTCCTACTTCCCGCGATGTCATCCGCTGTCACCCCCTCGGACTCCGCATGTCACCCCTCCGACGCCTGTCGGTCCAAGTACTCCTCCGGCCGCTCCTAAGCAGGTCTCCCACCGCCGCTTCTGCCTCTGGTCCGCTCCGAACCCCGCTTCTGCCCCTCGGTGCTCCCCGCTCTTTGTAGCCTCTCCGCAGTATACACTGAACCCCCGTTCCGCAGTCGGCCGTGATCCCCGGCGTCCGCCGATGCCCGAATTCCCCGCAGTAAGCTTTTCAGAACCTTGTGCATTCGGTCTACCTTTCTCCGCTTTCCCGCGCCTCGGAAAGCTAGACTTTCCACTAATGCACGGCCGCTTTCCTCAGCCCGCTTGTGTAGCGTCAGCTCCGCGTGCTTTCCGCATCAGCGCCGCGAGCATTCCGCATGCCCCAAACAAACCGGCCAAAGCTTTGGCCAAGGCGCGCTCCCGCCACCACAACGGTCGCAAGAGGGCAACTCCCAACCGATTGGAAACCCGACCAAGCAAGAGGAACACCGGTCCGAATTTCACCACTCCTCCGAACCGGTGCAATCAGGCAGGCGCGATGTTCCCAGGGACCGGGACCAGCTCTGATGGGACCAATGACAATGACATTGAAGTCATTCCAATCTCCTCCGGGACCACCAACACGGCCGCCTCAGCCCAAGCGATAGTCCCCAACACCACCCTTGCGCCAGCCTCACCGGAGCTCGAGTTTCACTCGATGGAGACGTACCTCCATGTAGCACATGTCCCTAAGGAGGACAAAGTTACCCGAGGCCGATTGTTGAGCAATGGAATCATCCATTGGTCATTCTTCCGATCATCGTCCGAGGAGGAATTGAGAGGTCTCGGATTCCCGATCGGCATAGCTCGATTGCTAATCGAAGGAGCGGTGCGGCTCGAGAGGTACGATCACAACATGGAGGTTTATCAGGGAGGGATGTCTCCTTCTCCTATCTTATAGTTCAAATCGTGTCATATCGATTGCATGTCCTCACCATGTTGTTAGTTACTGTTGTTGTGCATGTTTACTGTTACCTCCATATCCATGCTTCCCCCTAAGCGCAATTCATTAGAATCTCTCACTCAAGGATTCATTTCGCCTCGCTCCTCTTAAGAAAAGAAAGATCAAGGCAAGAGGATCGGAATGAGAAGTAAATTCTTCTTAAATTTCATTTGCTGTGTTTTATGTAAGATGAGTGAGAGTGAGATACAAAGATCCAGGCAAAAGCGAGTGATAAACAATTACAATTTAACTTAACTAGCAAATGCAGTCATTTATGACAGATGAGTCAGATACAGACTAGTGTGAATCACTCTCAAAGAAGTAAAACACGTCAGAGGGTGACCACACTTAATTGCCCTCATATGTGTATTTAAGCTTGCCCTCATATGTGTATTTAAGGTGTGACAGATTCACAGATAGCAGGTAATCAAATCAGTTTTACTCATCAGACACTCGAGATCGGGAGACAAGTGGTAATCGATTACATATAGCTAACAGGACTTAGACAATGAAAAGAGAGACACAGTTCAGCCAGACGATGACATGATCAGAGAGTTGATGACACATGAGTCCCAGAGAGACGGAGAACGCAAGAGATACGCAGGCCAGTGAGTGAGACAGAGATCATGATAAGACAGCAAAAGGAACATGTTGTTGACAGTATGAAAGAAAAACCGTTAGAAAACCACCCGCACTAGAATCGTTATCCTAAGAAGCGTTACTCAGGAAACGATCGAACTTAGCGGCATTGTCGTACAATGCCGTGACCACTCCAAATGTCAGGCCAAGGCTGAGGACCTCTTGCCGGCTGAGCGACGAACCGGGGCGAAACATTTTGTGTGAGAGGATGTCGTTCGAGGTCAGTACATTGTGGACCGAGTCGAGGTTGCGAATGTTCAAGAAGCGCAAGTAATCAACAATCTGCGTCTCCGAGTCGGGCTGGTAAGGGATCCCATCGGAGCCGGGGGGGGCATCGTTAGCACTTGCGCGAGCTTTACCAACCTCTACAAATGCTTCCACCATCATTCGACACCAAGTGGCCTTATCCTCTCCAGTCGGTGTTGCAGAGGCTGCGGTCTTCTGCTTCTTCTTAGTAGACCCCAAATCTTCCCAAGTGAGGTTCTTTGGGGGGCTCATCATATTCACCCCCGGGGATTTTTCATCCATCTGTTCACGCAGAGGCACCCAAACTATCAGCTCAAGAAATCAAGCCTCACAAACAACGTGCCCCATGACTTACAATCCCGATTGCCCATTCTTGGCACGCCTCCATCGTCAGCAGGATATACCTACCAGTGACCGTTGGGTGGAGGAAGACCGGGCAATGGGCATCGTATTCGAGGTTGATCGGATTGGCATCAAACAGTGCACGCATGTGGAAATCGACATCATTCCAGTCCTCCGGATCGATCTCGTTGTCCTCGTCGCCACTCATATCCTCGTCATCTTCATCGCCGGCTTTGCGCTTGGCGGCTTTCTTCAATTCCATGGCCTTTTTAAGTTTCGCCCACTTCGCAAGGATATCGGCCTGCTTCCCTTGTTTGACAATATCGGCGGGGTTGGTCATCCTGAGAGCCAAGGTTATGGGGACGTCTTTCTTCTTGCAGCTGGCCAGGATCGCCGCCATCCAATCGTCGAACGACTCAGCATCCGTAAGAGTCCTGCCATCACCTTTGAGCCAACCTTTTACCCGGCTCAAAGTCACATTCCAGAAGAGATCGGGTTTGTTCTCAGCTACAATATCACCCGAATTAGGAACCTCCCGATCGCACGCCGCCGCCACATGGTCTTGGAACTCTTCATAAGAAGTATCACCGGGTACGACGGTCACCGTGAAATCGTTCTTTGATGTAACCTGGACCCATATTTTCTTCTTCTGTTTGCTTTTGCTGGATACATACAGTTTGAGCGAGGTAGTAATGGTGAATTCCTGGTCGGTAACACAGCATTCCAAGCAAGGATAAATAACAAAAATCAATCAAAGTCCCGAGTGAGTGAGAGTGAAAGAGAACATACCCTCTTGCTGGTCGAATTATCACATTCATCCATCGATTGAGCGGCAGTCGGGGTTGGCGATATGTTTGGTAACATAGGAATAGGTTCCGTCATTGACAAAGTGCTCTGAACAGGCATACTGATCAATAAGTAAGATAGTGAGGATGTGTGATGTTTCAGATAAGAGAGGGGAAATCGACAATAGGGAAATCGACAATAGGAAGAAAAAACCGGCGGGCTTTTCCCAGGAGGGACGGAGGATGGAGGATGAGAGGTGGGTATGATTGTGGGATATATCCTAGCAGTCTGCTGTCAGCTACCTTCAAAGTTTCAACTAGGAAAAAGAAGACAACATAAGAATGTGATATATGTGGGATTATGTAAATTTTTGTGACATTTCTATTGATGGCAAAAACCCCGATCAAAAAAGAAAAAAAAAATACACATTTTGATAGTTTGAGGATTACAGCTATTTCGGAAAAGCTTGTCCTTCCGTGACTTTTTTTTTTTTTTTTTTTGCAATTTTTTTTTTTTTTTTTTTAATTTTCTTGCTTCGTTGTATGTAGATACAATTTCAAATATGCAAATACACAAACACATATTTCAAATGCTGTCAGCTCAGTTCTCATGCTCATGCCCGGCATGTTCATGGCCGGTCGGTCCAATCCCGGCCGGCTTCACCACCCACCAGGCGATCCATCCATCCCATCCTTCCAGGTTCCGTCACCTCCAGCCGATCCAATCCATCCCATCATTCCAGGATCCAATTGACTAACGGCTCAACCATCGACCGATCGATCCTTCGTGCCCGTTCACAAGAAGCCATGGTTTTTGTACAGTAGGTTTTTCTAGAGAAAATCAATTCTTCTGTTCCTTTCCTCGCTAATCCAACATTCCTCCGTTGTGCAGATACGACTCGCAAATCAAGGCCCTAGTCGTGCGTTGGTTGATGGCCCGTCGCACCATAGCCGATATCAACAATGATCTGGATTTCAAAATCCATCGGAAAACCATGAATCGATGGATGTCGCTTTACATCCGCACCCGCGACGTGGTCAGGGACCCTTCGACATACGAAGATCGCGGCCGGCCTCTGGCAATCAATAGCGAGGAGCGCGAGTTCATTCTGGATGTTCTTGAACACCAGCCAACGTTGTACCTTGACGAAATTCAAGTGCACATTGAGGCGATGACTGGTGTTCTTCATCCACTATCCACGATTTACGATGACCTCCGACATCGATTACAGCTTACTAGGAAGGTTGCGGCAACGGTTCACCCCTCCCAATCGGCAATCCGGCGGGCCAATTACATCTGCGCAATTGCGCAGATTCCGTCGGAGTTCCTGGTTTTCACAGGTGTGTTGTCTTCTGGTTATGACCTGAAGATAAGTAGCTCACTATTTTTATGCGAGGTTTGATTAGATGAAGCTGGGGTATCGCAAGATACTCACCGTCGTACTCACGCCTGGGCTCGGAAGGGACGTCGCACGACCCGTATTCCTCGCAGACATGATGCAACCCGCATCAATCTGATGCCAGCTGTCTCACTCGATGGGTTATTATGTTCGATAGCGCAAGCGGGTTCAATGACCCGCTTGGATTTTGAGTACTTCCTTGAGGAAGTATTGGTAAGTCATTCGTTCAAGCTCTTCAGAATTGATTGTTGTATCTATGGTCTCTAACATGTTGAGCATTTATACCTCAGATGCCTTGTATGAATCCGTATCCCGGCCGCAACAGCGTCTTGGTGATGGACAATCACCGGATTCATCACGGTGGGAGGATCCGGGAGATCTGCGAACAGAATCACGTGCTCCTCATGTATCTCCCACCCTATTCACCTGATTTTAATCCAATAGAAAAAGTTTTTTCTGTTCTAAAGAGCCGACTTAAACGAGCTCAGATACTCAATGGAAATTGGGGAGATGCCCAGATCATCAAGCGCTTTCTTCCTTCTTTTGTAACTCCCCGTCTGATGAGATCGTTGTACTCAAGCAGTGGTTATGCCTAGTTTCTTCTGAATTATCTACTTGTTTCTTTTGCTTTCTCTCATTTTGGGCAATTTAAACTCATTTGCATTCACTACAACACACTTTCGTTGAGGCTGCAATGTTGAGAATTCTTTGAGGCTGCAATGTTGGGAAATAAAGAATCTGAGATAGATCGATTCACAGAAGCGGTATCTAACTTGGTTTTTTAGGTCGGAATACGGACTTTATTTCAGCACACAGACATTGAAATTGAAAAACGATTCAGAAGTCAGACAAGATATTAGAAATTCCAATTGGTAATCAAATGACATGGTAACAAAACGATAAGGAAGGAAAAAGACACATGTAAGGAACAAGAAAAAAACAAGAGGCCTATGCGGATGGGCCTAGGCCTAACTTGATAAAAAAAAACTTGCCCCTTATGTATCGTCGGATATTTTGGACAAATTAAAAAAAAAAGAAAAAGAAAACGTGCCCGTAAATGGAAGAAACGGAAACAAAAGAGCATAGAGGGATTCCGATCCGCTAGAGTTCAGTGATTTCTTGCTGGACCATAGTAAGCTCCAACTCGGTCGCAAAAGAGCAGAGAGGGGTTCCGATCCGCTAGAGTTCAGTGATTTCTTGCTGGACCATAGTAAGCTCCAACTCGCTCGCACCATCACTCAGATGAGTCGCCAACCCTCGAGTGAATCCAATCCGCATTAGCTGCTCGTCGGACTTGCCACGAAAGAAAGACCAGTGCTTCACATCGTGGCCTTTGATTAATATCTGGCACATCGGGTCATCGACTTCGATGTTGCAGTGCCGGAGAAAATCGTTCATGGTCATATTTTTTCCAGCTGGAAGTAGGGGTAACCGCGGCTCGCTTCGTGATTTTCGAGGTGGAGACCGAGAAGGAGATGTATCGCGTGGATGGACCGAAATGCATCTGTAATCGCATGTAGGGTAAGCTGAAGGGCTTCGGGCCATCTTCCTTGGATGTTCAGCATCGGCTGGCCTTCCGGAATTCCTTGATGATTGGTCCAAGTGGTTGACCGATCTGGAGGAATCCACCGACACATCATTCAAGTAGTCAATCGAGTCGTTTGAACTTTTGGACACTAGATCGACAACATTGGAAATCCCAATGTTTCTCAGATCCAGGGCCTCTTCACGACCCTCGACTGCCGCGTCCGAATTTAACGTATCGCAACGGCTCACCGGACTCATCCTGTTCACATCAGCGACAGAACACCCACTGAATTGTCGGGGTAATGCATCGGTTCGGCCCTGATTCCCAACCGACAATCGACGGGGATTATTGTTATGAGAATTACCCGGCGCTGCACGATGTTTCAAAGGCGATATTCCAGATCTCCGCTCCCACTGGAAAGTTGAACCGTTTGGGGGCGTGTCCATGTCAACATGGCGGTTCGCATCCGTAATGTGGCCGGCCGATTTGGCCTCAAGCACATTAGCCCAGGCCCATAGACGATTATGATTGACCCGAAGCACGAGAGTTGGATCATCCTTGTGGGGCCAGAAGATGACCTCAGAAGGCTTCGCATTCGATTTCTGTTCAAGATGCTGGCGAAGGCGGACCACCCAAGGTCCAATCGGATCCCCACTGACATCGGAGCGAGTCTGATCAAATGCGAAAACACATCAGATACCCGATACACAGAATCCAACAAACTAGTCACCTGCACCACTCACATTCTGCAGCTGCCGAGCTTGCTCTCGTTGTAGCGGGACACGCTCTTTATCAGATCCAACCGCCATCGCAAGAATCTTTTCCACCTTCTTTTTCTATCAATGGTCAAGAAACCCAGTCAACATGAAAAAAAAATCAGTTGAAGTGAGCGGACAAGATTCAAATCAACTAAGACTGGTAAACATACCTGTTTATCAGACTTATCTTTTGCTGAATGAGACTTCTCCTGTGCCGACGGGTCATCCATTATAACTCGGATGAAAACTTTCTGGAGCGGTTTTTTAGCGACCTCCTCAGCAAATGGGCGGAGTTCTTCATCGGACGAGCAGTAGTATGCGCGTCTGAAGGGAAAAAAATGGCTGTTTGAAATATACAAATGAAACTTCAAATTGTCTGTCTTCCTGACTTGATCAAGGAAGACATCGAGATTCCGTTGGCTATTCCCAATGATCCGAAGAATTTCGTCCCGAAGTTCGTCCCACTGTCTATGCATAAGATTAGTGTTCAAGTATGGCAAGTCGTCTTTGCTGGGTACAATCTTGTCCCAATCGCTCTTTGTGGACGCCGCACGTTGCTTCACGGAAATGTGCGGGTTGTGGACGTTGACGTAGAGGCAATAGTCCAACGAGATGTGGAGTGTCGGCTCTGAAATCGATTTCTTGGTCGCTTTAGCCTTCTTGCGCCCTCTACCCGAAGCCTGCCTTCCCGAAACCGCCGGTGTGTTTTTGCTTGAATCGACTCCAGACTGAGATAGATCATCTTCGTCGTCCTCCAGGAATAGGTCGCCGTTGTATGGGGATTGCTGCAAGGATGCCGGTGTAGAGTCATGAGTTTGGGCCGCATCGAGGGCTGGATCAAGGACATCCAAATCGAAATTCATTTCTTGATGCTGGAAGGAATGGATCGGCTGGTGGTAATGGATCGGCTGGAGGTGACGGAACCTGGAAGGATGGGATGGATGGATCGCCTGGTGGGTGGTGAAGCCGGCCGGGATTGGACCGACCGGCCATGAACATGCCGGGCATGAGCATGAGAACTGAGCTGACAGCATTTGAAATATGTGTTTGTGTATTTGCATATTTGAAATTGTATCTACATACAACGAAGCAAGAAAATTAAAAAAAAAAAAAAAAAAATTGCAAAAAAAAAAAAAAAATTGCAAAAAAAAAAAAAAAAAAAGTCACGGAAGGACAAGCTTTTCCGAAATAGCTGAAAAATTTCAAAACAAGAACCGATCCAAGGTTTCTTGCAAACACAATAAGTAATTACTTTGTGCCAAGACTTGATCCGAAACGTTGTTTTCATCGACCCAGTGTGCGTCGGTTTGTATGTAA